TATACAACGTTTGTAGACACTTCCTGACAGCTGCTTTGAAATTTAATAGAGAGTAAACCTGAGAGGCGTTTGTTGCACTCTTTTATGACTCCTAAATAATCACTGTACAGCAAGCTTTGAAAAGCGTTTATAGCACTTTTCAATGACTCCTTAACAACCGGATAGAAGCAACTTTTATACAACGTTTATAGATACATATTTAAAGTCAAGCTTTATTGTTTTGGTGAAAGCTCTTATACAACGTTTGTAGACACTTCCTGACAGCTGCTTTGAAATTTAGTAGAGAGGAAACCTGAGAGGCGTTTGTTGCACTCTTTTATGACTCCTAAATAATCACTGTACAGCAAGCGGTGAAAAGCGTTTATAGCACTTTTCAATGACTCCTTAACAACCGGATAGAAGCAACTTTTATACAACGTTTATAGATACATATTTAAACTAAAGCTTTATTGTTTTGGTGAAAGCTCTAATACAACGTTTGTAGACACCTCCTAGCAGCTGCTTCGAAATGTATTAGAGATTGAACCTGAGAGGCGTTTGTTACACTCTTTTATGACTCCTAAATAATCACTATACAGCAAGCGGTGAAAAGCGTTTATAGCACTTTTTAATGACTCCTTAATAACCGTTGTGTAAGTACTCACAATATTCACAGATTAAAATTAGTTTAACAATTGTCGTGGTACGCCAAAATAATTGCTTGTACAGTTTTTATTAATTTAATTTATTTGTGCACATTGAAAAAATATGTAATTATGCCATAATTCACATTCTGTGATCATGGAGGAAGTAATAACAAGCATCTGTTTAATCTTTGATTGATATTCTTTCAATTAATCTCTCTAATTATTAATTGAGAGAATTTATCTAGAAATGTTATCGTTGATTATATGATATATGTCTTAAATTAATGTTTGCATTTATTAATAACACCTATATATAATTTACCTCTACTCCACCGAAGGTTTCTCGAAGCAAGATTCGAACTCATGATCCCGGATTGCCAGCCGCTTCTGTTTCCATCTGCTCTATTCTTGAATACATATTTTGATCATATGAGAGAAGTATATCAAGCTCATCTTGAGTGACTTCTCTTGCAGTCGAATAATCATTGCCTTTTGGTTATATAAACATGCCTATCACTTGTGCTATTTTTAGCAACGAAATTGTGGTTGGTCGAACGTAAACAATCATTTAAAAGTGCTCCAAGCAGCTTTTGAAGCTTCTAACCAAAAAGGCAATACAACTACATTCTTGTTCAACTCTGGAAGCTATTATTCAACGTTTGATCAACTCAGGTGTTGTATAAGAGCTCCCAATGGTTTGTTTTGATGCGTTTATTCCACATCCTATATGGCTCCTGTCAAACAGTTTAACCGAACGTAAACAATAATTTAAGAGTGCTCCAAGCAGCTTTTGAAGCTTCTAACCAAAAAGGCAATACAACTACATTCTTGTTCAACTCTGGAAGCTATTATTCAACGTTTGATCAACTCAGGTGTTGTATAAGAGCTCCCAATGGTTTGTTTTGATGTGTTTATTCCACATCCTATATGGCTCCTGTCAAACAGTTTAACCGAACGTAAACAATCATTTAAGAGTGCTCCAAGCAGCTTTTGAAGCTTCTAACCAAAAAGGCAATACAACTACATTCTTGTTCAACTCTGGAAGCTATTATTCAACGTTTGATCAACTCAGGTGTTTTATAAGAGCTCCCAATGGTTTGTTTTGATGCGTTTATTCCACATCCTATATGGCTCCTGTCAAACAGTTTAACCGAACGTAAACAATCATTTAAGAGTGCTCCAAGCAGCTTTTGAAGCTTCTAACCAAAAAGGCAATACAACTACATTCTTGTTCAACTCTGGAAGCTATTATTCAACGTTTGATCAACTCAGGTGTTTTATAAGAGCTCCCAATGGTTTGTTTTGATGCGTTTATTTCACATCCTATATGGCTCCTGTCAAACAGTTTAACCGAACGTAAACAATCATTTAAGTGTGCTCCAAGCAGTTTTTGAAGCTTTTAACCAAATGGCAATACAACTACATGCTTGTACAACTATGGAAGCTATTATTCAACGTTTGATCAACTCAGGTGTTGTATAAGAGCTCCCAATGGTTTGTTTTGATGTGTTTATTCCACATCCTATATGGCTCCTGTCAAACAGTTTAACCGAACGTAAACAATCATTTAAGAGTGCTTCAAGCAGCTTTTGAAGCTTCTAACCAAAAAGGCAATACAACTACATTCTTGTACAACTCTGGAAGCTATTATTCAACGTTTGATCAACTCAGGTGTTGTATAAGAGCTCCCAATGGTTTGTTTTGATGCGTTTATTCCACATCCTATATGGCTCCTGTCAAACAGTTTAACCGAACGTAAACAATCATTTAAGAGTGCTCCAAGCAGCTTTTGAAGCTTCTAACCAAAAAGGCAATACAACTACATTCTTGTTCAACTCTGGAAGCTATTATTCAACGTTTGATCAACTCAGGTGTTTTATAAGAGCTCCCAATGGTTTGTTTTGATGTGTTTATTCCACATCCTATATGGCTCCTGTCAAACAGTTTAACCGAACGTAAACAATCATTTAAGAGTGCTCCAAGCAGCTTTTGAAGCTTCTAACCAAAAAGGCAATGCAACTACATTCTTGTTCAACTCTGGAAGCTATTATTCAACGTTTGATCAACTCAGGTGTTTTATAAGAGCTCCCAATGGTTTGTTTTGATGCGTTTATTCCACATCCTATATGGCTCCTGTCAAACAGTTTAACCGAACGTAAACAATCATTTAAGAGTGCTCCAAGCAGCTTTTGAAGCTTCTAACCAAAAAGGCAATACAACTACATTCTTGTTCAACTCTGGAAGCTATTATTCAACGTTTGATCAACTCAGGTGTTTTATAAGAGCTCCCAATGGTTTGTTTTGATGCGTTTATTCCACATCCTATATGGCTCCTGTCAAACAGTTTAACCGAACGTAAACAATCATTTAAGAGTGCTCCAAGCAGCTTTTGAAGCTTCTAACCAAAAAGGCAATACAACTACATTCTTGTTCAACTCTGGAAGCTATTATTCAACGTTTGATCAACTCAGGTGTTTTATAAGAGCTCCCAATGGTTTGTTTTGATGCGTTTATTTCACATCCTATATGGCTCCTGTCAAACAGTTTAACCGAACGTAAACAATCATTTAAGTGTGCTCCAAGCAGTTTTTGAAGCTTTTAACCAAATGGCAATACAACTACATGCTTGTACAACTATGGAAGCTATTATTCAACGTTTGATCAACTCAGGTGTTGTATAAGAGCTCCCAATGGTTTGTTTTGATGTGTTTATTCCACATCCTATATGGCTCCTGTCAAACAGTTTAACCGAACGTAAACAATCATTTAAGAGTGCTCCAAGCAGCTTTTGAAGCTTCTAACCAAAAAGGCAATACAACTACATTCTTGTTCAACTCTGGAAGCTATTATTCAACGTTTGATCAACTCAGGTGTTTTATAAGAGCTCCCAATGGTTTGTTTTGATGCGTTTATTCCACATCCTATATGGCTCCTGTCAAACAGTTTAACCGAACGTAAACAATCATTTAAGAGTGCTCCAAGCAGCTTTTGAAGCTTCTAACCAAAAAGGCAATACAACTACATTCTTGTTCAACTCTGGAAGCTATTATTCAACGTTTGATCAACTCAGGTGTTTTATAAGAGCTCCCAATGGTTTGTTTTGATGCGTTTATTCCACATCCTATATGGCTCCTGTCAAACAGTTTAACCGAACGTAAACAATCATTTAAGAGTGCTCCAAGCAGCTTTTGAAGCTTCTAACCAAAAAGGCAATACAACTACATTCTTGTTCAACTCTGGAAGCTATTATTCAACGTTTGATCAACTCAGGTGTTTTATAAGAGCTCCCAATGGTTTGTTTTGATGCGTTTATTCCACATCCTATATGGCTCCTGTCAAACAGTTTAACCGAACGTAAACAATCATTTAAGAGTGCTCCAAGCAGCTTTTGAAGCTTCTAACCAAAAAGGCAATACAACTACATTCTTGTTCAACTCTGGAAGCTATTATTCAACGTTTGATCAACTCAGGTGTTGTATAAGAGCTCCCAATGGTTTGTTTTTATGCGTTTATTCCACGTTCTGTATAGCTCTTGTGAATCAGTTTAACTAAGGTGCTATAAAAGTTATCGTAGGTCTTATAAAGCATATAGTTAAACCGAACGTAAACAATCATTTAAGAGTGCTCCAACAGCTTTTAAAACTTTTAATCAAATGGCAATACAACTACATTCTTGTTCAACTCTGGAAGCTATTATTCAACGTTTGATCAACTCAGGTGTTTTATAAGAGCTCTCAATTGTTTGTTGGGTTAGTTCGCACTGTCACGTTGCGTCGAGATAAATCGCAATACCAGCGCCCAGTGCAGAAACTGTGTCCACTTCCGGATTGAGGAATTACCTCAAGGCGGGGGAGGATGATTGAGGATTTTGTGACGACATCCCTACCTCCCGAGTAATCAGCGTACCTACAATACCAAATGTCTGCGCATTCTATTTGTTGCAACCGATAGAAAATTCCGCCGTTCCGAAAAACGTGTTCTCGGGTTTCAATTTTAGTCCAGGTTCGTCTCGACCTTTCGTTTCGGTTAGTACATTCCAATTAAAACAGTTCAAAGCTAAATTTGATGTGTCACGGATCGTAAAAAATTAACAGAGAATACAGCAATAAACAACTGCACTAGCAACCGGTTATGCCATCGTAGTAGGCAAGATTTGAAAAACTTAAAAACACTTAAGAGATATTTGAAAATATTTAATTAATATTAGAACTAAAGTTTAGAGTGGGATGCCCCTTGTATAAGAATGTTTATTTATTTATATATTTAATTGATTCCACCAACAGGCTGAAGCCCTAATGATTTGAAAATACACAATTGGGTTCATTAGAAGTACCAGCTTTAGTCATATTATGTTATTTCAAACATTCTAATGTTCGACCGTAACCTCTTTACGTCGGCTCTACCCGCGGCAACTAATCCTCAAATTGATTCCATCCACCGGCGTAGGGACGAAGTTATTCGTATCCATTACCAACTCCGGTTCATCGTGACCAAACAGCGCGAAATCGAACTTGGACAACAGCAGCGACAGTCCCACCTTGGTCTGTATCTTGCCCATTCGCAGCCCGATGCAGATGCGCGGTCCATCGCCGAACGGCGCATATGGTTTGTTCTTCACGTCTGGATCCTGGAAGCGCTCCGGATCAAAACGCATGGGATCCGGATAGTACTGCGGATCGTGCTGCATTGCACCGATCTGAAGCACTAATGCCGTTCCCTTTTCGATTACGAAGTCCGAATCGGGGACCTTGTAGTCTTTGGTGCATTCTCGGTTCAACACCGGCAGAGGCGGGTACTTCCGCAGGGTTTCATCAATGCAGCATTCCAAGTACTGCATTTCAATTATGCCTTCGTAGGTCAACTTGCCTCCGTGACGGTCCAACGCGGAATCGACTTCCTTTTGAACCTTGCGTTGAATCGAGGGATTCTTGGCCAGTTCGTACAGGCAGAAGGACATCGTCGTAGAAGATGTCTCGAATCCGGCTAGGAAGAATATGTGCGCTTGCGCTGCGACCTCCTCCAGCGAGAGGCTCTTGTACTTGCTGGTCGTATCTACATCCCACCGTTCGTCGATAGAAACGGTTCCCGTATTGCGAAGCTGTAGCAGCAGCTGCATCATGTCCTTGCGCGTGACGGCAGTCTTTTCCCGGAGTTCCAACGTCTCCCGCACAACGCTCAGGATGAACCGCTCCACATCGCCATCAACGGATTTAATCTTCAAGTATTTGTTCAGCTTCGGCACCATGAAATTAATCAGTCCACGCATGTTGTTACGGAAGTTTGGCTCGAATACCTAAAAATTGATAAGCCCACACCAGTATGTTAGATAACGATTCAACCACCTTATCTGAAGCACACCCACCTTACGCCCCATTTGACGAAACAGTTCGTTTGGGTTGTTAATCGAATCGATCTTAATACCGAATGCAATCGATGCGATATTGTCCGTGTTGTAGCGGGCCACAATCTCTCGGATCTCGACGACGTCCTCATTTTTGGCGTACGTCTGGACGTAGTCCTGCAGCACTATGCCCGTATCAACCAAGGTCTGGAACATACCCTTAAGTTTTCCACTGGTGAAGGTCGGTGTCAGCTTGGCACGAAGATGTTTCCATTTTTCGCCGGCCAGTGAAAACAGGTGTCCACTCAGCGGGTCGTTCACTTCATCCACGTATGAACCACGGTCATGGAAGTACTGAAAATCCCGAACCATGATGTCCTTGAGCAGCTGGGGATCGTTGACGAATAGTATAGGGCGCAGGAGGATGTATCCACCGAGCAGGCGCCATTGTTTGCTACGTTCGTAGAGGTTCTCGCAGGCCTTCGGGAAGGATGCCTTACCGAGGAAGACATCCGCTATGTTGCCAAACGGGGAGAACGGTGTCAGCTGTCGAACTCCTCGCCGCTTCCAATAGCCGAAGACGTAGTTTAGCAACGCAAAAGCGACCACGCAGAGTAGCGCCACTCCAATCGTTAGCGGTATCATTTTCGTACTGATTAACCCGACGACGGTTCTCAATTATAGTGAGTGAACTAAATTTAAATTTTGACTGATCATGATGGACTGTTTTCAATAGATAAGATTAGTTTACATCAGTCAGCAACGAAATGACTTTGCCGAAAAAGACTCGTTTTGACCTTGAACACTTTTTTTTCCGCGTCGTTTCAGATTCTGGTCCACGCTAGTCCACAACCCGGGTGCCATCGAAAGCGTCATCTCCTTCACCCAGAATGCCATCCCGTACTATCTGGTCGGAGTGGTCCGATCGTCTGCCAAGGTGTTCCCACTCTATTCAGCTGCGCATCGGTGCATTTTGCAAGTCATCTGTCGGATGATAACCCAGCGGGAATCGGACCGCTGTTGGGTCGGAAAAGAGTTTCTTGGGGAGCTATTGTACAAGCACTATCTGGTATCGATTCCGTTGCTGTTTGACCTGCTGCCGATCTACGGTCGAGACAACCGACAGGTGCTCAGTTTGATGCTGCAGACGATCTTCAAGCTGCAGCCCAAGTACCGGCAGGATCTCCGCGTCGGGTTGCAGTTTCTACAGAATGTAAGTATTTCTCAAAGTCCCATGGGGTTCCCTCAGTGTAACGAGAAGATTTCTTACCTTTCCAGACGTTCAAAACCATCCAGCATCGCATCGAAACGGACCGGATCGACGGCAACCTAGCCACCTGCAGTGCCCTCAACGACCTGGCCATCTACACCCTCGACTGCTGCAGCTGCCTGTCGCTCCTAATAGAACTTTACCCGGACATCCGGCCAATCTGTGCCGACATCGCTCTGGAGCAATCCATTTCCAACTTCTACGACAACACCATCGTACTGCTGTACAAGAACATCTTCGCCATGGACAACGAATCGCCGTACCTGGCCTACCTGAACTCGGCCCGGCTGGAGCTGCTGGCCACTTATCGTGCCGTCGTCAACCTTCAGCTAGAAACCATCCAGGAAAACCCGCAAGCGAGTCTCGTCCCGGCCGATAAGTTCCTCTGCGTGCTCACCGAAACGCTTTCGGATCCGATCTTCGTGCGGGACTACCAGCGCCACTATCCGGTGGAACGCGATCTGGACATCCTGAAGCAAGGCTGCCCAGGAGTGGACAGCTTCAAGTTGGACTTTGTCCAGAATGCCTACTGTAGCGGGATGGCAGGCGAGGAAGAAAACGGGCTCACCAACGGCCATGGCGATGGGGAGCTTCCTGAAGAGGACGAAAGCTTCGGGGAAGCTGCTGGCGGGGTAATGGAAGAACCGGAGGCTGGTCCTAGTCGGTCCACCGTGGAACCACTGACGCCGGAGCAGCAGATTGAGGCTAATGTGCGAAAGGTGTTGGATGTTTTACCGCATCTGGGCGATGGCTTTGTCCGGAAGATTTTGGTTAGGTACGACGATGTTGAACAGGCAATTGCAGCGGTCTTGGAAGGGAATCTTCCGCCGGATCTGGCTGACGCGGATCCTAGTGAGCCGTACATTCCTCCGGATAAGACGGATAATTTCTTCCTGGAGACGGGAATCGAACGGTTGAACATCTACGACGGCGATGAGCTGGATGTGATGGTTCACGATAAGATCAAGGGGGTAATTAAGAAGGGTAAGGGGATGCCAGGGCAGCCGAAGAATTTGAAGGAGATGCTGGACGACAAGAGTCACGTGAAGGAGATGAAGGGACGGTACCAGGAGTATTCGAACGTGTGCGATGAGTACGACGACGAGTACGATGATAGCTTCGATGCTATGGCGGACAGTGAATCCAAGACTGTACGTTTGTCGGCGCAGATGAGAAACGCGCTGGTGGACGAGCTGGACGATGAAGATGAGGAGGAGGAAGGCGACGAGGACGATGCGAAACAAGAGTCGGGTGGAAAGAAACCGCTTGATTTCTGCGTGAATCCCGAAACGATTCGGCAGAGAAATGAGGAAAGGCGACGGAGTAAGTATCAAGCTAGGGATGGTGGAGGAGGAGGACCGGCACCAAGTGGTGGTGGTCAAAACAGGGATGTCGTAGGTAAGGCTAAGGGACAGGGCCAGAACAAGGAGGTGCTGAACAATCGCAAGCACAAGAACGAGAACAAATCGAGCCGTGCCAATCACAACCGGAAGCAGGGGGCGACCTTCAAGAGGAATAAGGGAATGATTCCGTCCTAAGGTTGGTTTTGATCGCGAACGTCGGCTCATTAAATATCTTTCGAGCTAAATACCTACGTAGTGAATTTCAATTATTGGAACATGAATGAAAGCCACTTCTACGAGGATTGTCCTGTAAGTTCAGCCCTGGGTGAATTCAAACTCATAAAGCAACCAACGATACAGACAAAACGGTTGCTACGACTACCATGACAAACTCGGTCTGTACCATAGCTCGATCGGAGTGGTAGAAGGATAATGATGTATTGCTTGCCTGCTTTGTTGCAATACAAGACCAACAATTGAAAAAAAAACCTTATAAGGCCATTTTCTCGTGAACCGAAACCTACATTCGGAAACCTAAAACACAATCGGGTAGAGAAGAATTTCCCCCACCTGTTCATTTTGTTGGTTTGCGTTGGTGGACTTCGATTCGCGATAAAAAAAAAGCCTTACAAGGTGTGTTTACAAAATTGAGTTGAGGCCTTTTCAATTGTTTTACATAGATGAGGACATTGATTGATCTGAATTGAAAAAAGACATAACAAAAAAAAATCCATTAGCACACGTGTATCATCTTCGGCTTTACTTCGTGAAGCATCTTGTCAAAAAATTGCTCGTTTCCTTCTACCGCCCCGAGTAAGCTGTGCTGCAGAAATTATTGAACAAGAAAAAAAAGAAGAATAGTATATCATTATTGCTTTCCACTTCTGACATAGCGTTATCATTCGGTTCATTTTGTCATTTGGAGATATTTTTGATTCCTTGACCATGAAATTAATCAGTCCACGCATGTTGTTACGGAAGTTTGGCTGAAATACCTAAAAATTGATAAGCCCACACCGGTATGTTAGATAACGATTCAACCACCTTATCTGAAGCACACCCACCTTACGCCCCATTTGACGAAACAGTTCGTTTGGGTTGTTAATCGAATCGATCTTAATACCGAATGCAATCGATGCGATATTGTCCGTGTTGTAGCGGGCCACAATCTCTCGGATTTCGACGACGTCCTCATCTTTGGCGTACGTCTGGACGTAGTCCTGCATCACTATGCCCGTATCAACCAAGGTCTGTAGCATTCCCTTAAGTTTGCCACTGGTGAAGGTCGGTGTCAGCTTGGCACGAAGATGTTTCCATTTTTCGCCGGCCAGTGAAAACAGGTGTCCACTCAGCGGGTCGTTCACTTCATCCACGTATGAACCACGGTCATGGAAGAACTGAAAATCCTGAACCATGATGTCCTTGAGCAGCTGGGGATCGTTTACGAATAGCATAGGGCGCAGGAGGACGTATCCACCGAGCAGGCGCCATTGTTTGCTTAGAGGTTCTCGCAAACCTTCGGGAAGGATGCCTTACCGAGGAAGACATCCGCTATGTTACCAAACGGGAAGAACGGGGTCAGCTGTCGAACTCCTCGCCGCTTCTAATAGCCAAAGATGTAGTTTAGGGACGCAAAAGCGACCACGCAGACTAGCGCCAGTCCGATCGCTAGTGGTGTCATTTTCGTACTGATTAACCGGACGACGGATCTCAGATATAGTGAGTTGACTAAATCAGTGCTAACATTTGAAAACGGCACAAAAGCCATTTGTAAACAAATGGTTTGTGGGCCCTTTACTCACTACTTGAAGTACACCCACGCGACACAACAGCAACATCGGGTAGGGGAAATTTTCCCCTTCCTGACGATGCTGTTGGTTTGCGTGGGCGTTCTTCGGGTAGCGAGTAAAGGGCCCACAAACCATTTGTTTACAAATGGCTTTTGCGCCGTTTTCAAATGTTAGCACTGAAATATAAATTTTGACTAATCACGATGGACTGATTTCAATAGATAAGATTAGTTTATACCAAATTAGGCAGCAAAGCAATAGATTTGCCAAAAAAGGCTCGTTTTGACACGAGCTGTGATTCGTCGTAACGGCTGGAACACCGGAGTAATAGTTGGGTCCATCAAAATACGTATCTTTGTATCTGATATCTTGGAGAACGGAGAATCATTGTTCTTGCCATCCAGAACTCGGTTAATTTCCAACCCAATCTTCAGGATTCCCAGTTGTTTCGAAGTCGTGTCGCCCAGCAAATTCCGCTGTCCATTTTCAACCGCTAGGAACTCTGCTTCTATGGAACGCTTTCCGATCTGGATTTCTGCTTGGAAAGTTCCCAAAATTGCGAGTGGCTGACTTGATGCTTAAGCTTTTAGGGTCTTACTGCTTTCGCGTTAGCATTTAGATACAACAATCCGTTGCGTCTTAAGTTTCTCCCAGGTTTCCGATGTGAGTATGTTAACATCTGATCCTGAATCGATGAACACCTCTATCTTCACTCCTCCAACAGTAAAATCAAATACATTAATATCGCTTCCGGTGTGAGAAGTATAGAAGACTTTCTTTTCAGCTGCTGTGCGGAGGGGTGCCAATAGCGGTGCTGGCCGCGGGGTATCCTGAGCATCATCCTGTATCTCTTCAACTATCTGCTAAAAACGTATTTCTGAGGGACGAATACGACAGACGTTTTCAAAATGCCCAAGCTTCTTGCACCGTCGACAGTTCTGATCAGCGTTGCCAGATATACCGATTTATCAGTATTAATACCGATTTCCAAACTAGATACCGATAAGGTTCCTCAGAATACCGATTTAAAAAAAATTATACCGATTTATACCGTTTTTTTTTAAATAATCAAAACTTTTATTGCCTGCCCGCGCTCGAATTTCGGAGAAAATTTTTGTGAGTATCTTTTTCAATACCTCATATTTTTTGAGCCTTCAAAATTCTAAAAAATCATCTCTAAAGATGCCTTATGCTTGATACTCTTTCAACTAATGTTTGCATTTCCTCACCGTTTTTGACTACCCATCAATTGAGAAATAGTCGATGGCTCTTTCCGGTAATTCCTAGGCAATTGAGAAATATTTTTTAAACATTATTTAACTTCCGGAAGTTTTTATTCATTTTTAAACTTCCTGAAGTTTTGTCCAACTTTCCCTGGAATTTTCTTCCACCTTACCTTGGAAGCTTCTTCAGCCTTCGCTCTTATGATTCTTTCATCTTCTCCCGCCAGTTTTTTTAACTTTCCCGGAGCTTCAAGGATGCTATCAGATTTTTATTGCGGATCTACACTAGCTGCAGGCACATTTAAGAAGTTCTGAAACTTCAGAAAAGTCCAGACTTCAGGGAAATTTAATGGTTTTCAGGAATTTTAGTGAAGCTCAGAGAACATCAGGACAGATCAATTCATTTAAATTAAATTGCTGGAATTATAAAGGAGTTCCGAGAAACTCAGGCAATTTACGAAAGCTTCAGCAATGTTCATGCAAATTTAGGAAACGCGAAAGGGAAGTTACATGAAAATTAGATCACTGTGAGAACATTTTATGGGAAGTTCTAGGATTTTTAATGGCAGTGTCGATAACTTTAAAAAATTAAAATATCGAGAAGATCAGAGAACTTCAATGCTGATGTTACAATAAATTCAAGAAAATTGTGAGAGCATTTAAGAGATTTCGTAATCTTCAAGAAAGTCCTTCTAAGATGATTGGAGATATTCCGTTAGTCTTATTATTATCAGGGAAGTTCCTAGCGCTTCGAGGATGCCCAGAGAACTGTAAAACAGTCCCTAATTTCAGGAAATTACAAGAACTTTTAAGGAATTTTGAGGAATTATGGAATATTTCATTCCTGCATTTCAGGAATGTTCCGAAAACTTCAGAGAAATTTCGGATCTTCAGGGATGTTTTTTGAATATCAGGAAAATTTTCTGGATCATTAGAACATCCCCCAAGAATCTCTTTCATTCGGAATTATGTCCTTGTTTCTTTCTTCTTGCTTCCGACTTTCTTCAGATGTTTCGTCCAATCTACCTTAGGAAGTTTCTGCCAGCGTCTCGAGGAATTTTCTTTCTCTTCTCCAGGAAGTTCAATTTATTCTCCCAGAAATTTCTTTTGTCTTCTTCTGGAACCCGAATAGAAATTGTAATGTAGGAAACATCAGCAGACATCTTCAATACATTAAATTTTAACGTGTATTGCTGTAACCTTAATGTATTCAGACTTCAGTGTGACGTCCAAGTACATAAAAATACATTAGCCTCAAACGTTACATCAGAATCAAACGTCTTGACGATGTAAAATTTGACATCAGAATACATCCAATGACAACAGAACCAAACGTTACATTAGAATCAAAGTTCATCAAGATGTAAATTGTTGTCCCTCGGTCTCTCGCCGCATGCAAAGTTTGTTTTGTCCTGAGTCAGCACTACACGGCGAATGAGAACGACCCAAATTTGAGGTTAGTTCACTCATAAATCGCAAAAAGTGCAGGAACTCAGTTTTGAATTAATTTCCCTCATGTTCCGAATATGAGAAAAGCAAAGATTGGATTCTCTGGATTCTCGTAAATTTTCCTTATTTTAGGGCAGATTTTTGAGGTTTTCCACAGGAAAACATGCGGCAAATTTACTCATCCTGCACTTTTTTCGATATTGAGTACACTGTACTCAAATTTGCGTTGATCTCATTGGCCGTGTACAGTTTTTTTTCGCAGTGGGAAAAGTTTGATTTGTTTACGAATTAGCCCGGGAAAGTGCCGACAATGTGTCCGTCGCGAGTTTTGGTGGCGATGCAATGTTTTTCTGGTAAGTAAATGTGAATTTATTAATTTAATGTAATGTAATTATGTTTTTTTTAGGAAAGTACCAGTCCCAAGCCGAATCCCGGTAGGGAATCCGAAGCTGGATCCCGGGCGGGGAGTTTGCAGCCAGATCCCTCGACATACTGCAGGTTAGTCAGTGTATTTACTAAAAGCTACAAGCCCGATGACGGGTTCCGTAAACGGAGCCCGATGGGGATTCCGTAGACGGATCCCGATGGGGAAACCGAATACGGATCCCGATGGGAAAACCGAATACGGGTCCCAATGGGGAAACCGAATACGGATCCCGATGGGGATTCTGTAGACGGATCCCGATGGGGAAACCGAATACGGATCCCGATGGGAAAACCGAATACGGGTCCCAATGGGGAAACCGAATACGGATCCCGATGGGGATTCCGTAGACGGATCCCGATGGGGAAACCGAATACGGATCCCGATGGGAAAACCGAATACGGATCCAGATAGGAAAACCGAATACGGATCCCAATGGGAAAACCAAATACGGGTCCCAATCGGGAAACCGAATACGGATCCCGATGGGGATTCCGTAGACGGATCCCGACGGGGAAACCGAATACGTATCCTGATGGGGAAACCGAATACGTATCCCTATGGGAAAACCGAATACGTATCCATTAGTTTTCGTTTCGTGTGGAAAACCTGGAATTGGGTTGTATAATTTCGAAAAACAAACAAATTTTTATACATCATCTGAACGAGCTTCGTTTTCTGAGCACAAATATATTTTTATCGTTCCCATTAACATTCATCTCGATTTGTAAACCAAGATTTAAATTGTCGATAAATTGCATTAGATGACGTTAATATCCTTTGAATGACAGTTCGCTCTATGGCGAGGGCCGCTAAAATGGTGATGTTTGCAAATGTAATAACACTGATTTATCATAGTTCATGTGAACCAAAATTTATGAAATTTTGGATTTAGGTTCCATTTTTAAACCATTTTTTTCAACCTATTAATATTGGATTCAGAGAGTCGCAATAATGGCGGTAAGCTCCAACTTGGATTAACTTTTAATACCGTCCCTGTTTGGATGTTGAATAACTCTGCGCTCCGACCGAATCAATTTTTATCTTCATTCTTTATTCTTTATTTCCATTTCGTCAAGCCAGTGTAGACTACATACAATGATTATTACAATGTTTAATCTTCATCCGATAGGCCGAAGTGAATTCATTGGCGTTTCAATGGCGTTTCAATGCGCTAGGACGAGTTTAGAATCCGTAGGCCGAGTTTGGTGTCAAGAAGCAGTGTTAGACTTTTGACAATATCTCAACGATTGGTTTCTCTTTATCAAATCTTACGGTACATACGGAAAGGTAAATAAATTTGGAAGCCATCAGTAATAATAACATTCCGTTTGGTGCTAAACTGCGCTAGATAAAGAAGGACTAAGTGCGGGTTGTGCTTAATAGGCCGAAAATGGGGTAGTTAACCCTATAATGACTTCATAATTCCGAAAAAAACATGTTTCCGGGTGGAATAAGTTTCATCAAGCCTTATGATGGTACACAAGATGGGTCGCAAGTTTATATAAAATTTAAAGTGTGGTTCGCAATCAGGGAAAGACTGAGATTTAAGAATTCTAATGTAAATTTTTCATAAATAATGCCAATTTAGAATTCTGTACTATC